TAAGGCTCCATTATATTATAGAATGGAGTTTTCTAAATGTGACTATTTTTCAGCTTTACCAGTGTATCATATACTTCAGTATGTTTTCATATTGCTGATTATCATCTTTTCTTTTCAGCTTGAAGAACTCCTTTTAGCATTTCTTGCATCACAGGTGTAGTGGTGATAAACTCCCTCAGTTTTGTTTGTCTGAGAAAGTCTTTTTCCTTTGCCAGACAATGTTCTTGGCTGTCAGTTTTCATTCTCAGCCCTTTGAATAAATCATTCCGCTCTCTCCTGGCCTTTAGTGTTTCTGCTGAGAAATCCACTGATAGCCTGCTGGTGGAGAGGGGGGGTTCCTTTGTAGGTTACATTCATTTTCTCCCCGGCTGCTTTTAGTATTTTTTTTTAATCTTTGACTTTTGATCATCTCATTATAATGTGTCTTGGAGAATGTTTTTGGCATTGAGGTAATAAGCCTCTTGAACTTGGATATCCAGTCTTCTCCCAAGCTTGGGAGGTTTTCAGCTATTATTTCTTTAGTTAAAATTTCTGCACCCTTCTCCCTCTCTTGTGCTTCTGGATCCCTGATTATTTCAATGTTTTCCGTTTTGATCGAGTACCAGAGAGTATGTAGATTTTCTTTCCTCATTTTTATTCTTTGTCTTTGGTCTGTTGTAACTCTTTATTTCAAAATTCTTCTCTTCTAACTCACTTATCCTGTCTTCCATCTGCATTACTCTGCTCCAGACAATCTCTATTGCATCCTTTATCTCATTCATTGAATTCCTCAGCTCCAGAATTTCTGGATATCTTCTTTATATTTTCCATCTCTTTTATAAGTGACTCATTTTGTCCATGTACCCATTTCCTAGTATCACTGAACTGTTCTCAGTTTTTCTTATAGCTTGTTCAGTTTCCTCAGTACCACTATTTTGAATTCTTTATCAGCTAGATTGCAGTATTCTGGGACTTAGGTCTCAGTTGCTGGAGAACCGTTGCTATCTTTGGGTGATGGCGTATTTCCTTGATTTTGGAAGTCCTTTGTATTTCTGAATTGCTGCCTTAGCATTTGAAATATCTTTACTGGTTATCTTTGACGAGGTACTGTTCCTTAGTGTTGCTTCTCTGGGGATTCTAGGCTTATAGCAGTGGACCAGCTCCACTCAACAACGCATGGACAGAAGGGTTTAAATACACTTGTTGTAAAGGAATTTCTCAGAACACGAGTGCTTGCGGCATTGAGAACAATGTTATCTCAGTGAATGGATGTTACACCTGTTTTGCAGGGTGTGTACCGAAGTGTTTGGGAATACTTGTAATAAGGATTTTTCCAAAACTACTTGCTTGCTGTGTTGAGTACAGTGTTTCATCTGTGAATGGAAGGAGGACATATTTTGCAAGGCATGTGAAGCCGTCAGAACACTCGTAATATGGATGTTTCTAAGTACATTGACGGGGTTGCTTGGACAACAGAGTTACATCAGTCACTGGAAGTGGCCCACATTTCTCCGTGCATTGAGAGATGTATTTGAGAATGCTTGTAAAAAAAAAAAGAAAAAGAAAAACATGTTTCTAAGAATGATATTTGCTTTCTTTATTGAGAACAGTGTACATCAGTGAATGGAAGTGGCACCATCTGCAATGCATCTAGAGAGGCATTTAAGAACACTTGTAATAAAGATGTTTCTAAGGGGGTAGGTACAGCTCCGTGGTAGAGCGCGTGCTTAGCATGCACAAGGTCCTGGGTTCGATCCCCAGTGCCTCCATTAAAATAAATAAATAAACCTAAGCACCCCTCCCCCAAACAAATTAAAAAATTTTGATTAAATAAATAAATATTTTTTAAAAAAAGATGTTCCTAAGAGTGCTACTTCCTGGCTGCATTGACAACCAGGTTACATCAGTTACATTTGCATTAGTGGCACTCATTATGCAAAACGTGTATGGAAGTGTTTAGGAAAACGTGCCCTAAAGGTGTGTCTAAGAACACTGCTTGCCTGCTGGGCTGAGACCAGCGCTATATCCGTGAATGGAAGCGGCCCCGCTTCTACAACGCATCAGAGAGTTGTTGATGGTCATTGCAATATGGATTTTATTTTTAAAGAAAGCTACTTGCATGCTGCACTGAGAAACAGTGTTACAAAAGTGAACGGTAATGGACCCTATCTGGCAAGGCGTGTAGAGAAATGTAAAAGGATTCTTACAATAAAGCTGTTTCTAATAACACTACTTATTTGCTATGCTGAGAACAGTATTATATCATTTAATGGAATTTATACCTATTCCGACAATCAGGTTAAAAGTGTTTAACAACTATAATAAAGTAAATAGCTGTTACTACAAATGCTATTTCCTGGCTGCGTGGAGAACTGTATTGTATCAGTGAATGGAAGAGGCAGCTGTGCTGTCACGCATGTTAGAAGTGAAAGAATACTGATTACAAGAGATTTCTAAGGATGCTACTTGACGCTGCATAGAGAACACTGTTCTATGAAAGAAAAGAACTGTCACTCATTCTGTAATTCATGTCTGGAAGTGTTTAAAATGCCACAAGATTGTTCCTGAAATGCTACTCACATTCTGCATTGAGAAAAGCGACACATCGGTGGCTGGAAGGGACACTTATTTTGCAAAGCCTGTAGAGAGGTGTTTGTGATCACTTGTAATAAAGGTGTTTCTAAGAATGCTACTTGCTTGCCACACTGAGAACAGAGTTCCTTCAGTGACTGGAAGTGGCACCCGATCTACAATGCATGCCAAGAAGTGTTAAAAAATATTTATAATAAAGATATGTCTAAAAGCAATGCTTGGTATATCCAGAACAGATGAAAACTCTAATTTGAAGATACATGCACTCCAATGTTCACAGCAGCACTATTTACAATAGCCAAGACATGGAAACAACCTAAATGTCCATTGACAGATGACTGGATAAAGAAGTTGTGGTATATCTATACAATGGAGTACTACTCAGCCATGAAAAAAGAAGGAACTACTGCCATTTGCAGCAACATGGATGGACCTAGAAATTATCATACTGAATAAAGTAAGTCAGATAGAGAAAAACAAATATTAAATGATATCATTTACACGTGGAATCTAAAAACTAGTATAAACAAATGTACATGCAAAACAGAAATAGACTCAGACACAGAAAACAAACAGGTGTGGAAAGGTGTTGGGGAGGGATAAATTAGGAGTGTGGGGTTAATAGATACACACTACTATATATAAAATAGATAAGCAGCAAGGATCTACCGTATGGCACAGGGAAGTATATTCAATATCTTGTAATAACCTATAATGGAAAACAATCTGAAAACATACACGTGTATAACTGAATCACTTTGTTGTACACTTGAAACTAACACAATATCGGAGAGCAGCGTTAAATTAGTGATTTGAAGTTACGCCCATTCATCAAAGCATGTATAGAATTGTTTAAGAATAATTTTATAGACATTCTTCTAAGAACACGACTTGCCTTCTGCATTGACGACTGTGTCTTACCAGTTAATGGATGTTACACGCATTCTGCAATGCATGAATAGAAGTTTTTAGGAACACTTGTTATAAAGATGTTTCTGAGAACACTGTTGCATGCTGTCTTGAGAACGGAGTACTGCCAATGAAGAGACCTTGTGCCCATTCTCAAAGGTAGTCCGGAAGTCTTTCTGAACATCTATTAAAAAGATGGTTCTTTGCAAATCTCAGACTCCCAAATTTGTCCCTCCAGCCCCTTTCCTCTATAACCATAAAATTGTTTACTATGTCTGCGGGTCTGTTTCTGTTTTGTAGATGACTTGACACATTGTAACTGACTATACTTTACTTTAAAAAAAAATTTTTTTTAAACAAGATGGTCCTAAGAGAAGAGGGTGTGACCAAAGTGGTAGAACGCGTGCTTAGCATGCCTAGGTCCTGGGTTCAATCCCCAGTATCTCCATTTAAAAATAATAATAATAATAATAAGTGAGTAAATACAGTTAATGATCACACACACACACACACAAATAAAAACATATAAATTTTTTAAAAGATGGTCCTAAGACTCCTACTGGCATGCTGACCTACCACACTGTGTTATCAGTGCGTCGACTTTAAGAAAAATGTACAACATAAAAGTTGTGAGTTTACTCCTGGGACAGTACCCCAGGAGACAGCCTCTCAGTAGCTCTAAGGAGGCTGCTCTGAAGAGGGAGGGAGGGAAGGAAGCTTGTTTATATATGACTTTGAGCTAGGGAATACTTACAGTCTGGCATACATCTTGATAAAAGATTGCTGTCAGTGACAAAGAACAGACATCTCAAGTTAATGATTTTAGCGCTTTTCTATATATGGGAAGGTGCAAGAATCTGGGGTCATTAAAATTCTCCCCGAGATCTAATTATGTAAGAGGTCTGCCTGCTTGTGCAGAGCACAGAGAGTCCTGTTAAGCCATCTTAATTTCTTCTCAGAGCGCACCGTCTGTCGGTCAGGGCACTTAATCCCGGGAGAACTGGCTGGTGAGCAGAAACGCTGTGTTCTTTGTTTACAAGCGAATGGAACTGTCACCCATCTGCAATGCATCTAGAGAAGCGTTTTAAGACACTTGTTGCAAAGCTGTCTCCGAGAATGCTACCCACTTGCCGCACTGACTGGAAATTATAACCATCTGTAATTCACATAGAGAAGCATTTAAGACAACTTGTAATACAGATGTTTCTAAGAATGTCACTTACTGCCGCAACGAGAAAAGCTCTGGTCATTTCATGGATGTTATACTCATTCTGCAAAGAATGGATCGGCGTGTCTAAGAACACTTGGAATGAACATGTTTCTAAGAATGCTGCTTGCAGGCTGCACTGAGAACAGTGGGTATTTGTTGTTGTTTTTGATTTGGTTGGTTTGTCTTTTGCTATGAGAACAGTACTATATCACTGAGGGAAGTTACAGCCATTCTGCCAAGCACATCCAGAGTGTTAAGAATACTTGCAATAAAAGTGGATTTTTAAGAATGATAGTTACATACTTCATTGAGAATAGTGTTGTATC